CTATAGGCTCTCATGCTACGGGCCTAGGCCATATGGCCTCCCATCCTAGTGATAGCCCGGGCCTGCTTCCCGAACAACACAGCCAGCGCAAGTATCTGATAAATCTCTCTCTCTCTCTCTCTCTCTCTCTCTCTCTCTCTCTTTCTCTCTCTCTCTCTCTCTATATATATATATATATATATGTCTCTCTCTCTCTCTTTCCCTCCCTCTCTCCTTGTCTCTGAGTCTCCGTTTCTTCGCGGCCAAGCGATAACCCGTGCGTCTGTTGAAGAGTGGCCTCCATTTTGCGCAGCAACCACTGCGCCTGAGCTCGCCGATCTATGGGGGCAGGAATCATCGCCAATGGTGTGCCCTATGCTCGCTGCCCTTGCGGCCCGAGTCGTGTCCTTGGTCTCACTCGTCACCCTCCTCCATCATCTCCATCTGCCGCCCGTGGTTTGGGTACGTAATCGGAGTCCCCTGCATCATCAGGGCCTGTGGTCTCTCCCGGGGCGACATCTGTGCTGTCGTCGTGGACGATAAGTACACTGCCGCGTCTCTTCTGACCTGCCACTGCATTCCCTGTGCCCTCCCTGCCGACGATATCCGCCATCGTTGCATCCCTCCCTCCAACATCCAATGCGTCGCCGTCAGGTGCAATCTCTCCGTCCTCGAGATGMACAACGCCCGATCCTCTCTCTCGGGAACGCATATGTGAGGATGAACGTGACGCCTTCCTTGCCGATGCCTTCTTCCCTGCCCGAGAAAGACTCGCCTTTGCGGCTCTCGTAGCATGGACATCAGACGTCTTCGTCGGCAAAGCACTCCCGTGTCGGTCCTCAAACTCGGCCATGGCGGTGTGCCGAGCACCACCCACACTCCCAATGGATCGTTTCCCCATAGACGGTGCAGATGGCCTGCGAACATTCCGGACTCCCTGCTCATCCATCCCCCCAGTACTCTTCCCGCTGGCATAGAATGCCACTGTCGGCAAAACAGTGGCTCTTTCGCGCCGTGCTGTCGCCGATGACCCAACCACAAGCTGTTCTGTCGCGTCCGCGCCACTGTTGTGACGGGGACGCCCGCATCTGTGCCGACAACTGCGGCAATCGGATGATGCTCTAAGTTTGACGGCGGACTTGGGGGTCTTGCTTCTCTTTCGAGTGTGTCAACTGGCCCACCAGGAGACCCTTCCTCTGCGCCGTCAAACGAATGAGAAAGACTGCGTTGTGCGATGCTGCGTTGACCGTCGCGGCGGTGTCGCGTCGCCGTCTCCGCCAAACCAAGGGCCACCTCRCGTAGTTTGCCAACACGAAAATTGTGGGCGTGGCAGACACCATTGGGCTCGTAATCATATTGGCGATATCGCCTCCTGCCACGTCAAACCCGTTCGATCCACGCTCCATGACAACAGGCTGTTGCGGCTTGGGCGGTGACACCATGGGGTAGACCTGGGGATATCAACGTCGACAAGTCCGGTAGAGAAACGAGCGCAGAGTCCATGGTCAGTAACTCGCCGGTACCCGGAAGACTGCCGGTGGGGCATGCGAGGCCGACATGGTCTGCGGCGCTCTGCTCGGCTGCGGGAGTGTGTGAGATATCACGTTCCGGGAGATCGTCGCCTTGACACACAACAACGGTCCCCTG